ACTTAAAAGCTTCTGTATGCCCCAAACAAGAGCCTTATTTCCTATACCCACAAGGATGAGATTACTGAAAATTAAATGTGGAATCTCATCTTGTAACTAGAGAAATTACAGCATAAATTGAACTCGTGTCCTCATAAAGTAACTATTGCAGCCCAGAGGTGGTGGCGTACGCCTTTAATCCCAGCACTCGAGAGGCAGAGGCAGGAGGCTCTCTGAGTTTGAGACAAGCCTGGTCTACAAGAGTTAGTTCCAGGACAACCTCCAAAGCCACAGAGAAACCCTGTCTCGAACCCCCCCCCAAAAAAACCAACAAAAATTATTGCACTTAACTCATATTAGACATGAGCTCCCCTTTCCAAGTACCTGAACTTCATATATTCCCAAATATTATACATATATAATATATATATACATATATAATTGCAATTTCTAATCTAACATCTGTAGTTGCCAATGAGTCTGGTATAACTATAACTTACCTCATTTAAGTCCTAAACTGAATGAAGGTATCAGTTAACAAATGTATCAGAAAAACAAATGTTAAGTGATTTGGATCTGTTACATACAGGGTACCAAATTCAGGAACTTCTGACTCCAGAGCCTTTTGCTCTTAGGATTCTGCATATTCTGTCCCCAAATGGAGAATTAATCCACGTGAAATTATATAATCCCCACAATCTAAACCATATTCTGTGTACTATCAATATAGAGTAATATAGAACTGTTCCTCTTTTATAATAACAAAGTAGTTTTTATCAAATGTGCCATTACAAAACAACCTAAGGAACACGTGTCATGTCTTACACAGTGTTAACTGTGAAGCTAACAATTTTCCTACTCCAAAACTAGATGAGATGATTTTTACATTAGTTCAAAAAATAGATTTAGGAACAATCAAAACTGCTAAAGAATCAATAAATATATGGCTGCTTGAAACATATGAAACAAATGCACAGCAATGAAAGGAGAAATCTTCTAACACAATTGGAAAACTAGACATTGCTCTTGGAAATCCATAGTATTACTAGAAAATTAGTCACAATATAAAGCCGAGGTGCTACTAAATGAC